TCCGGAAGTGAACACCCGGCTCCCGCATGCTGCTTCTTGTTGTGGTAGAAGAAGCATCATGGCGGCCCCTCTGGAGGTGATCGTGAGCAGCGACTCTGGCTCTCAGATGTGGAACAGCACCGTGTTCGACCTGCTCAGCGGCTCCAGCCTGCTCTCCTACCGGGGAGGGAGCTCCTCTGCCCGGGGGCTCACTCTGCTCAGCGGGGGGTACCTGCTCTGCGCGCAGCTGGGGAAGAACTTCATCAACGTGTGGGAGATCCAGAGGAAGGTACATCATTTCATATATATATATTAAACATAATGTACACAAAGTATATACAGGTAGCTATACAGAGTCATATAAATACTATGTAAAGAAATAAAGAGATAAATATAGAGAACATTGTGAGAAATAATCCGATCCAGAGGAAGGTAGCTTATTTTATCAAACACGATGTACACACAGGACATATACAGAGTACAACCAATACAATATAAAGAAAAACGATCCTAATCAGATCCAGAGGAAGGTAGCTGGGTATTTGTAATATAGTATAAGTACTCAGATGTCAGATCTAGTACTTGTGTAAAAGTAGAAGTACTCAGGTCTTGTACTTGTGTAAAAGTAGAAGTACTCAGATCTTGTACTTGAGTAAAAGTAGAAGTACTCGGATCTTGTACTTGAGTAGAAGTAGAAGTACCAGAGTGTACGAATACTCTTTTACAAGTAAAAGTAGAAGTATTATCATCAAAATAAAGTTGAAGTACCAAAAGTAATAGTAGTCATTGTGCAGATTGCTTTCTCCAAGTTTCCTTTGAATATTATAAAATGTCTGCCCTTAACTTCCACTCATCCTGTGATTTGATGATTATTCTGATCTCAGCTTTGCTTTATTTCACACTCCAACTTATCTGTCTCTTCCTCACGGTCGCTCTCACCTCTGTGTTTTGGTTCATATGAACCTGTTGAACACGTGTATTAAAGTACCTCACAGTGAACATGTGTATTAAAGTACCTCACAGTGAACATGTGTATTAAAGTACCTCACAGTGAACACGTGTATTAAAGTACCTCACAGTGAACATGTGTATTAAAGTACCTCACAGTGAACATGTGTATTAAAGTACCTCACAGTGAACACGTGTATTAAAGTACCTCACAGTGAACATGTGTATTAAAGTACCTCACAGTGAACATGTGTATTAAAGTACCTCACAGTGAACACGTGTATTAAAGTACCTCACAGTGAACATGTGTATTAAAGTACCTCACAGTGAACATGTGTATTAAAGTACCTCACAGTGAACACGTGTATTAAAGTACCTCACAGTGAACATGTGTATTAAAGTACCTCACAGTGAACACGTGTATTAAAGTACCTCACAGTGAACACGTGTATTAAAGTACCTCACAGTGAACACGTGTATTAAAGTACCTCACAGTGAACATGTGTATTAAAGTACCTCACAGTGAACACGTGTATTAAAGTACCTCACAGTGAACATGTGTATTAAAGTACCTCACAGTGAACACGTGTGTTAAAGTACATCACAGTGAACGCGTGTGTTAAAGTACATCACAGTGAACACGTGTATTAAAGTACCTCACAGTGAACGCGTGTGTTAAAGTACCTCACAGTGAACGCGTGTGTTAAAGTACCTCACAGTGAACACGTGTATTAAAGTACATCACAGTGAACACGTGTATTAAAGTACATCACAGTGAACGCGTGTGTTAAAGTACCTCACAGGGAACACGTGTATTAAAGTACATCACAGTGAACACGTGTATTAAAGTACATCACAGTGAACACGTGTATTAAAGTACCTCACGGTGAACACGTGTATTAAAGTACATCACGGTGAACACGTGTATTAAAGTACCTCACGGTGAACACGTGTATTAAAGTACCTCACGGTGAACACGTGTATTAAAGTACCTCACAGGGAACACGTGTATTAAAGTACCTCACAGGGAACACGTGTATTAAAGTACCTCACAGGGAACGCGTGCGTTAAAGTACCTCACAGTGAACGCGTGTGTTAAAGTACCTCACAGTGAACACGTGTATTAAAGTACCTCACAGTGAACACGTGTGTTAAAGTACCTCACAGTGAACACGTGTATTAAAGTACATCACAGTGAACTCGTGTGTTAAAGTACCTCACAGTGAACACGTGTATTAAAGTACCTCACAGTGAACACGTGTATTAAAGTACCTCACAGTGAACACGTGTATTAAAGTACCTCACAGTGAACACGTGTATTAAAGTACCTCACAGTGAACACGTGTATTAAAGTACCTCACAGTGAACACGTGTATTAAAGTACCTCACAGTGAACACGTGTATTAAAGTACCTCACAGTGAACACGTGCATTAAAGTACCTCACAGTGAACACGCGTGTGTTAAAGTACCTCACAGTGAACACGTGTATTAAAGTACCTCACAGTGAACGCGTGCGTTAAAGTACCTCACAGTGAACGCGTGTGTTAAAGTACCTCACAGTGAACACGTGTATTAAAGTACCTCACAGTGAACACGTGTATTAAAGTACCTCACAGTGAACACGTGTGTTAAAGTACCTCACAGTGAACACGTGTGTTAAAGTACCTCACAGTGAACACGTGTGTTAAAGTACCTCACAGTGAACACGTGTGTTAAAGTACCTCACAGTGAACACGTGTATTAAAGTACCTCACAGTGAACACGTGTGTTAAAGTACCTCACAGTGAACACGTGTGTTAAAGTACCTCACAGTGAACACGTGTGTTAAAGTACCTCACAGTGAACACGTGTGTTAAAGTACCTCACAGTGAACACGTGTGTTAAAGTACCTCACAGTGAACACGTGTGTTAAAGTACCTCACAGTGAACACGTGTGTTAAAGTACCTCACAGTGAACACGTGCATTAAAGTACCTCACAGTGAACACGCGTGTGTTAAAGTACCTCACAGTGAACACGCGTGTGTTAAAGTACCTCACAGTGAACACGTGCATTAAAGTACCTCACAGTGAACACGCGTGTGTTAAAGTACCTCACAGTGAACACGCGTGTGTTAAAGTACCTCACAGTGAACACGTGTATTAAAGTACCTCACAGTGAACACGCGTGTGTGTGTGTGTGTGTGTGTGTGTGTGTGTGTGTTTCAGGACCAGCTGCAGCAGAAGATCGTGTGTCCAGGTGTGATCACCTGTCTGACCGCCTCACCTGACGGACTCTTTCTCGCTGCTGGGGTGGCTGAGGGCATTTACCTGTGGGAGGTGAGACCTTCTTCTTCTTCTGTGGTTCAAATATGTTCCCTTTCTTGTTTGTTGGTACCTTTTTTATCTGCAGATTTAAGGCGTGCTGTATTAATGCAAGTCTCTTTCCTTACGGCCTTATTTCCTGAGCCTGGATCGATGTTATTAATCCACTCAGTCTGCTTTATATCAATATCTGGATCATCTCTGCTTTTCATTGAACCTTTGAACATGTCAGTGATTGGGAGATCTTTAATGGAATGTAACCGATTAAAAAATAGACCTAGATGTAAGAGGATGTCGATTATGTCTCTGTTACAGTTCTTAATGCAGAACGCTTTTAAAGGTGTTGTTTTGTAGGTCATTATTAAGTGTTGTGTTTTGATAAACCTCACTATAGTTACACCTGGAGGTCATAATAACAACATTTCACAAAACATCACCTTTGTTCAGGTGCAATAACGTCTGCTCTCTGATTGGCTCAGGTGTATTAATGTCTCTCCTCTGATTGTCTCAGGTGTAATTACGTCTCCCCTCTGATTGGTTCAGGTGTAATTACGGCTATCCTCTGATTGGCTCAGGTGTAATTAGTCTCTCTTCTGATTGGCTCAGGTGTAATAAAGTATATTCTCTGATTGGCTCAGGTGTATTAATGTCTGTCCTCTAATTGACTGAGGTGTAATAACGTCTGCTGACTGATAAGATTACGTATAATGGTTTCTGTTCTCTGATTGGCTCAGGTATAGTAACCTCTGCTCTCTGATTGGCTCAGGTGTAATAAAGTATATTCTCTGATTGGTTCAGGTGTAGTAACCTCTGCTCTCTGATTGGCTCAGGTGTAGTAACCTCTGCTCTCTGATTGGCTCAGGTGTAGTAACCTCTGCTCTCTGATTGGCTCCGGTGTAGTAACCTCTGCTCTCTGATTGGCTCCGGTGTAACTATGTCTCTCCTCTGATTGGCTCAGGTGTAATAAAGTATATTCTCTGATTGGCTCGGGTGTAGTAAAGTATATTCTCTGATTGGCTCAGCTGTAATAAAGTATATTCTCTGATTGGCTCAGGTGTAGTAACCTCTGTTCTCTGATTGGCTCAGGTGTAGTAACCTCTGCTCTCTGATTGGCTCAGGTGTCCACAGGTAAGCTGCTGTCGGTGCTGAACCGTCACTATCAGGACGTCACGTGTCTGAAGTTCACCGACGACAGCAGCCACTTCATATCTGGAGGAAAAGACAACATGGCTCTGGTGTGGAGTCTGTGCAGGTAACTGGTAATCTATAATCAATACAAAACAAAGATATCCATCGTTCTATATAAAGTTTACTAATGTGATTTAATTGATGTCATTATGTAACTTTTTAGAATTTAAATTCTGCATTCTAGTGTTATGATTTCTTTGGTGCATTAATGGTTTTATTTTTCCTCCTAAGAGGTTTTTAAAAAGTCTTAAAACTCATTAGTGCGAATGCTGTTTACAGCATTCCACTATAGTTCTTCAAATCTTTATTCTTCCCCTTATTATTATTATTTCAGCCAATACTTTAGCACTCCATAACTTCAGCTTATTTTCAGCTACAGAAACCATTCAAATATTAAACTATTCAGCCTGTTCAGGAATCGATGGGAAACCTTCAAATTTTTAAAAATATTTTATACTTCTTGAAATATTCAGCTTTTTAAACTCTTTTTTTAACATGGAAGTCAATGGGAGATGCCTTCAAATCCTCTTTTCCTACACTTTGCGCTAAATGCTACTCCTTCCACATACTTTCAGCTAGACACTTCATTCCAACTTTCAAATGATGAATTTTGATATCTTTTACACTTCTTGAGATAATTAACTTTGTTTGGAGCTTGGTAGAGAGGCCTTTTTCAGATTTTAACATTAGTGTGGATGGAGCAGCTCGTTAAGTCTAGAGTGCTTTGATCTCAAAACAGAGTGGAGGGGTGCTTCAAATTCTCCTCAAAAAATGTTTTAAACTTGCCATAATTCCCAAACCCTACACTCCTCAGACATAATTCTTCATGAAAAACGTAGGAAAACCTCTCCTAGGTTGGAAAATAAAAAAGAATTAAGAAAAAATATTAAACAAAATGCCTCTTGAGGGCATGAAGAGACAAAAAGTCCACCTAGCTCCCAATTGATTCCCATGTTAAATCTTTCCGGAACTTTCTTCAGAACAGAGAGAAGTACACTTTAGACAAACTGCTCCCATCTCCACATTTTACACACAAAACCAAAAAAACAACATATATCAGTTCATTGGGGTTCCCTGATGCTCACGGTCTGGTAATTTTTTTTATAGGAGCCATAGTTTTTTAACAGGTGGCAAAATTGTCAGATATAATCCTCAATGCATTCTTAATGGGACTCAGTGCTGCAGTTGGAAAATCGTCATAAGTCGTCACCATGGTAACCTTTCATCTCTGGGTTTACACACACAGGTGTTTGTAAACATTCATTCACTACTACATTTAATGTCTTTATTTAACTCCTTCAGCCTAATTTCAGCTGCAGGAACCATTCAAATATCAAACAATTCAGCCTTTTCAGCACATGATGGGAAACTTTCAACTTTTTCAAAATATGTTATACTTTTTAAAATATTCAGCTTTTTAAAGTCTTTTTTTAACATGGAAGTCATTGCAATGCATTTGAGCTGTAACAATTCACACACTCTCTCTCTCTCTCTCTCTGTCTCTGTCTCTGTCTCTGTCTCTCTCTCTCTCTCTCTCTCTCTCTCTCTCTCTCTCTCTCTCTCTCTCTCTCTCTCTCTCTCTCTCTCTCTCTCACAGACAGACAGACACACACTCTCTCTCTCTCACACACACACACTCTCCCTCTCCTCACTCCACAGACAATATCAAGAGAAGGAGAGAGAGAGAGGGTGATCAAGAGAGAGAGAGAGAGGTGCGATCAAGAGGAGAGGAGAGTGGGCGATCAAGAGGAGAGAGGAGAGGGCGATCAAGAGGAGAGAGAGAGGGCGATCAAGAGGAGAGAGAAGATGGCGATCAAGAGGAGAGAGAGAGCGATCAAGAGGAGAGAGAGAGGGCGATCAAGAGGAGAGAGAGAGGGCGATCAAGAGAGAGAGGGCGAGCAAGAGAGAGAGAGAGAGAAGAGAGAGAGAGCGATCAAGAGAAGAGAGGGCAATAGAAGATTGAGAGGGTGATCAAGAGAGAGAGAGAGGGCGATCAAGAGGAGAGAGAGAGTGGGCGATCAAGAGGAGAGAGAGTGGGCGATCAAGAGGAGAGAGAGTGGGCGATCAAGAGGAGAGAGAGAGGGCGATCAAGAGGAGAGAGAGAGGGCGATCAAGAGGAGAGAGGGCGATCAAGAGGAGAGAGAGAGGGCGATCAAGAGGAGAGAGAGAGAGCGATCAAGAGGAGAGAGAGAGGGCGATCAAGAGGAGAGAGAGGGCGATCAAGAGAGAGAGGGCGAGCAAGAAAGAGAGAGAGAGAAGAGAGAGAGGGCGATCAAGAGGAGAGAGAGAGGGCGATCAAGAGGAGAGAGGGCGATCAAGAGGAGAGAGAGATGGCGATCAAGAGGAGAGAGAGAGAGCGATCAAGAGGAGAGAGAGAGGGCGATCAAGAGGAGAGAGAGGGCGATCAAGAGAGAGAGGGCGAGCAAGAAAAGAGAGAGAGAAGAGAGAGAGGGCGATCAAGAGAAGAGAGAGAGGGCGATAGAAGATTGAGAGGGTGATCAAGAGAAGAGAGAGGGCGATCAAGAGAAGAGAGAGAGTAATGTAACCTCCTAATGTAATGTATAACTACTATGAAAATGTTCAAAAAGTGCTCAAACTGCACATGTGTGCTAACAGTCCAGCCGTGAAGACATCTACGGGACAGTTTTGAGATTTCTTCAAATGCCGTTGCCATGGCAACACAATGCTCACCATGAAACACGGTTTTCTCATAACTTCAGTGAAAATGCTCGAAATGGCCCAAAACTTCACAGGTTTGGTAACGATGCAGCCATTAACACATCTAAGCGTATTATGGGGTGTCATCAAATGCCGTTGCCATGGCGACAGATAATTCACCATCAAGTTAGTTCAAAAGTTTGTAGTTCAAATATTCTGCTGCTTTCCCAAGCCTTTTTACTTTCTTTTCTCATCTTAATACAAATTCATTCACTACTACTTACATCTGATATTTAACTCCTTCAGCCTATTTTCAGCTGCAGAAACCATTCAACTATCACATTATTCAGCTATTTCAGGACATCAAGGCTATACATGTTTGTTTAAACCTTTTCTTTTAAATATTAAGCTTTTTCTGCATTTTTGTAGCTAAAAGCAGCTACCATTCAGCTAATAACATATTCAGCTTTTTCTTCATTTTCAGCTAAATTAATTCACAGTTTACAGCATTCGCACGCATTTTCTGCAGGAAATGCATTTTCTAGTTCAATTTGTAATTAGGTTTTCTTTTGGGCCAAACACGGTTTATTTTATGTTAAATTTGTATATTTTGCATCGATAGCCTACAGGTACACTGCTGACAATACTGTATGTGTAAAAATCACAATAATGTTCAGGGTCTGTGCGCCTTCTTACTCTCGCCGTGCGCCGAAAACAATATTTCTGTTCCTCAGAAACGGTATAATTCAGACGGCAGAGACAGCTTTGTTTTTACGGAGCTCCAACATCACGTTGTTGTTTACGTCTGGAGACATCTTGTTTACGGGCGTCATGTTCTCCAGAGATAATTGATATATCTTATAAACAAGATCAGAGGCACAGAACTCATACTATATCTGTCTAGAAACAGCCCTACTGTATATCCTCCTTATAATGTAAATACCAGTCAATGTCTTTTGTTACATGTATATGAAGTGTACTTTAATTGTGCAGTATAGAGACAGTTCTGTTCATTTAAACAAAATGTATAATAAATATACAAATGAATCTGCATGAGAAATAAATAAGATTTAAAAAACGATAATAATATTTTTATAGTGATAAATCTAGGCACTGTTGAACCGTGTTGTACTTTTTTTGACCTTATTTTTACAGTTACATCAATTAAAAGTGTTCAAATATAAAGCAGCAGTGTCCACCAGGGGGCGCTCTATGGGCAGGTACCAATCTGCTACCATAGCAACACCTCGTTAACTAATGAGATGGGCTCATTGTAGAGCTCTGTAATTGTAAATGTGATTTGTGTGTGTTACTGTGTGTTAATAACTGTGTGTGTGTGTGTGTGTGTGTGTGTGTGTGTGTGTCAGTGTGATCCAGCTGGATTTGAACGCCCCCCCAGAGCCTCGTCACATCCTGTCCCGTCACTCTCTACCAATCACAGACCTGCACTGCGGCCTGATGGGAGCTCAGGCTCGCGTCGCCACCGCCTCCTTAGACCAGACCGTCAAGGTGAGGCTTTAAGGAGACGTTTCTTAACGAGGGTTGTTGTTGTTGTTGTTGCTGATCTTAGAGCTGTGTTTTCCAGCAGAGCTTCATTCATTGTGACGTTTTCCTAATGAGGTTTGACTCGTTGTGCAATAGTTTTATCTCCTCCTCTGAGCTGAGTTTCCTGTCTGTTACAAACTGTAGACTTTTTTAAATGTGTGGTTTTCCATTTTGAGGTTTGGTGTTTTTAGCTTTAGCTGACTAGAAGAAGAAGAAGAAGATGATGAACCTTTTTTAATCTCCCTAGAGCACATGTGTCAAACTCAAGGCCCGGGGGCCAAATCAGGCCCTTGGTGGATTTAATTTCGGCCCGCAGGATAATTTCTAATTACTATTAGATCTGGCCCTCCGGTATATTGCACGCACACCTTCACTCCATCCTGAGGGTCTCCTCAGCTCAGAGCCTGACCCCAAACATTGATGACCTTGCACCCAAGATGAGATGCCAAGTATCTGGCTTGAACTATAAGAAATGACTCTGGAAAAGCTGCAGATAGAGCCATAAGAAATGAATGCAACTGATTATTTAATGTTTAAAGATGGGGTAGGTAAGTTTGAGAAACCGGCTGGAGATACACTTTTTGTTATATTCCATGGAATGCTCTTAACATCCTGATAGCAATGAATATCTGAAGTGCTTTGACAAAAAATCCATAAATAAATATCATCTGTGGAAGGCGTACTGTGAAAAGCACGACCAATCATCTGAGCCGGCCCAGCTAAAATAACTGGATGGCCTACCTGCCTGTCAGCCTTCCATCTGTGCACAAACTTATCTCGTGCCCTCATTGGTCATGTGCGCGTTTGTGTGTGTTGGAGGAGGGGCTCTGTAAGGAAGTGGCAGATTTTCTCCGGTCGTGTATTTTCAAATTCTAGCGATCTCGAGCCGGTTTCTCAAACTTACCTACCCCACCTTTAATGTTGTTTTTATAGGCAATCATTTAAGCTTTGTTAGTTCCAGGTTTAATATGTGCAATAAGTTCATTTCAATAAGTTTTGCAATAAACATTGAACCAGTCCGGCCCTCCACTAGTACCCTTTTTTTTTTATTTTGGCCCACTGTTTATTTGAGTTTGACACCCCTGCTCTAAAGGGAAATTCAGTTTTTCACTCAGGCTTGTATTTGTTTTAATACACACACACGCACAGTATACAGGTAGTATACACACACACAGTATACAGGTAGTATACACACATGCACAATGCCCACACAGTTATACACACTTTACAGAATACACATGCATCTGGAGAGGGTCAGAGCGAAGAGGCTGCCAGTCTCTGGGAGCAGTTAATGGTTTTGTGCCTTGCCCAAAGGCACCTCGGCAGGGCCCAGGAGGTGAACTGGCACCTCTCTAGCTACCACTCCACGCCCCGGTCTTTTTTTCGGTCGGGACTCGAAGCTGAGTTTCCTGTCGGTTAAAACCATTACATGACACGCTATTGACGTTTTATCCAAAGCAACTTGCATACACTTCCATACTGTAGACCTGCCAATGGGAGAAATGAAGGGTTAAGTATCCTGCCCAAAGACACTTAGACGTGTTGACTACAGGGTCTGGGATTGAACCAGTAACCCCTGATTTGGAGATCAGTAGTACTGACCACCAGAGATCTCTAAATGTGACGTTTTCCTAAAGATGTTTTGTGCGTTGTTGTTTGTTTCAGCCAATTATCAGCTGAGCTTCGGTCTGAAACTATACAGCAGCAGAGACTATTTAAATGTTTTACTCTTTAATGAGGTTTCAGCTGTCCATCATCTGAGTCTCCACTCTGTGAAACACCTCAGAGATTCTTTCAATCTGGACGTTTGTTTATGAAGTGTTTTTGTGAGAGGATAAGAGTATAGATGAAAAAGACAGGAGTATAAACGGCTTAGCAAAGTACTGCTGTTTCTCACATTCGTTTTAAGTGAAAGCTTCACAGCGTTACCTCGCCTTCAGACTTCCCTTTCTTATCTTCAGAGCCACCAGACTCCTTCATCATAAACACTGGTTTTACTTCCACCGCTGCCTCCATCGATAAGGTACTTTGGGTGTGAGTTGAATCTGACCCAAAGGTCTGAAACACTCAAATGGATTTCACCAAGAATAGTGCATTAATATATTTGCTTCTCAGCATCCACTTTTAAGTCAATTAAAGTAAATGTAGTCCATGGGAACAAAACCACACCCTCAACATTGTTAGTGCCATGCAAGGCAGAATATATCCCTTCACAGAATTAAAGAATGCTTTTAAACACGTTTTTTAAAATTTCTTTAAGGAGTGATTGATTGATTGAAAAGTTTATTAACAGCTTGTATATTGGGTACAGTACAATACAGCTCAAAACATACAATTGTTAAGGGGATGCAGACCAGAGAAAGACTTTCGTCTTGTTTACATCAGGGTCCCCCATTTCCAATTCATCATATCATACAAGACATATTTGACATACAGATGGCTTATTTACAATTTACATACAGGTGGTTTTTTACATACACATGGCTTATTTACAATTTTCATTTTAGATTTCGTTCTAATTAGGGCTGTCAAGTTAACGCGTTAATAACGCGTTAACGCAAAAAAAAATTAACGCCACTAATTATTTTAACGCGATTAACGCATGTGTATTTTTTGTCCTCGGCCGACCCGTGGTTTCAGAGCGCATCGAGTGTAAAATACCATCTACAAGCTGATGCTGACAGCCCCGCTCCTGCTGCCCGCTTGTGGCAGACCACACTTCCACGCTCACCGGCAGGCCCGGACTGGCCATCGGGAGGACCGGGAGGGAGTGTGTATGTGTGGCGCGACTCGCGAGCGAGGCACACCTTACGTGTTGTTGTTGTTGTTAGCATCTGGTGCTAGCTAGCTGCGCTAATGGAGCTGTTTCAATGAAAACAGAGGAGCGACATTTCGCCGACAACTGCGCCGAGCACTTGACTTTATGCAGGTAGCCAGACAGTGGGACATTGTACGAAAAGTCAGCACACTCAGCATAGTGCGCGCAACATGATTGCAGCGTCCAGGCAGCTCCCGTTCGAGCATATATACCATGAGCTGCACATAGCGCCAACGATCCATCAGTGTCCACACACACACACACACACACACACACACACACACACACACACACACACACACACACACACACACACACACACACACACAGTATTATTGTATGAGAGGTTCCAGGTTGAATTGAGGCGAATATTTGTAATGTTCAAATGATAATAAAGAAACATATAAAGCATATTTGTCCACTCATATGTTGATAAGAGTATTCAAAACTTGAAAAATATCCCTCTAAGGTACTTTTAGAACAGATAAAAAATGTGCGATTAATTTGCGATTAATCGCGATTAACCATTTTAATCGACTGACAGCCCTAGTTCTAATACATCCTAACCGGACATTTAAGACAGTGCAGATTTAACAGACAATACAACAATTTTTCACATTTCCTAGTTTTGGTTTTCTTATTAAAGGTCACCTATCATGCTATTTTTAGGCAATAGCATAGGTCTCAGATATATACAAATATATAAAAATCATGTCTATGAAGTGTTTTGCTCAAAATACCAAACAGATCACCCATTCTAGCCATGCCTCATATCCCTCTATTTCACTTCCTGTTTCAAAAGTGCTGATTTGGGGTATAAAGCTTTTAAAAAGGGAGGGGTCTGAGCTCATGCGGGACCCGGCAGCTACTGTCTAAACTAAATACTGCCGTGATGAAACGCCATATCATGGATTATCAAGGATTCTTTCTGAAACAGTATGGAGCTCAAAGGCTTTCTCTCTTGCCGGTTATACCACAAGGTGAGTTCCTTTTTATTTCCTGCTTCTTCACACACATGCTCTCCAGTACAGGTTAGCTCTGAGTGTTAGCGATGCTAATGTAAACACAGACCATATTACGTCCAAAACAGTCGGGCATTGTTTCTGATAGCAACGTTTCTGATAGGGCCGTGGGTCCACATTTCAGATATTACATCATATCGGACGCAAATCTGGATCAGCTCCGTTGTTCCCCAGTTTTTAGAGATTTGGGTACGGAGGAAAAGAGAGAGGGTTTTATTTTCTGATGCTGCGTGAGTTCCCCGACACACCGGGGACACATGTTGATGTATAAGAGACATCAAAAAGTGCATTTTGCATGATAGGTCCCCTTTAAAGGAAATTGCTCTACTAACCCTCTTTTGTTTCATATAAGAAAACAAACCCTCACAAGAACTGGAAAGTTGCTCACAGCATTGTCTAAACAAGTTTAACCTGATGATGGTCATCAAGTTTCTAGAATAGAAATTGAACTGTATGAAATAATAAGGCAGACTTGGAGCCAATCCTGCAACTTCACCACACGTGAAAAAGGTGACATGTTGAAAACCCACCTCCAGGGGATTACTATCATCCTTCAACAAGCCCTAAAAACCAACATCTTCACGCTGGCTTTTCCCTTTCACTTATGTCATAACTCCACCAATCTGAATGTTAAATGCTCTGGTTTTTTTGTACAGCTGTTTTTGTTAAATGTGACTTTTGTAAAGCGTCTTTGTGAGTCTTGAAAAGCACAAAGACATGAATATAAACTAACCTACACATGGAGGAAGACCCTAACCCAGCTCCTGGGATCTGCAAATAACCATTACTGTTTGTATTCATTGAGTCTGGTACCTTTTATACAACCACACATTAAAACATCAAAACCTCCCTTTCATCTTCATCACTTCAAAGATCAGTTCAGCTCTCTTTCTTTCTTAACGAGCTCTTACAAACAGCTCGTTAGCGGGAAGGTGAAGCAGTAAGTGTTCTTTTTTAACATTAAAGCATGGAGAGGACTCTTTAAAGTAGAGACACTACATACTGATATACACCTGAACATCAGCAGGAGAGGACTCTTTAAAGTAGAGACACTACATACTGATATACACCTGAACATCAGCAAGAGAGGACTCTTTAAAGTAGAGACACTACAGACTGATATA